ATGGCTGCTCTTCCAAAGGACTGGGGTTCAATTCCCAACAACCACAAGGCAGCTCACAACCATCTATAACTCCAATTCCAGTGTATTGGATGTCCTCTTTTGGCTTCTATGGATAATAGGCATGAACTGGTGCACTGATATACATGTAAGTGAAAGACCCACACATATAACAAAAATAATTAAAATTTTTATTATATGTATTTACTGTGTGTGTGTGTGTGTGTGTGTGTGTGTGTGTGTGTGTGTGTGGTGTAGACACATGAATGAAGATCAAAGGACAACTTATGGGAATCGATTCTCTTCTGCTAACATGTGGGTCCCAAGTATCGTGCTTAATGGGTCATTCTAGTCAGAAATCTGAGCCTGGGCAAAATGTGGCAGGGTCAAATTCCATAAAATGAGACCCTGGGAGAGCTATTTTGTAAAGCTGAGGAAGTGAAACACAAGTTATGGTATAGATCCCAAGATGTTGGAAATGCTAGGATTGTGGGGCATCTGTTGGCAAAAGCTGTAAACGTGGAGTAGAGCTGGCCTAAGAGAGAAGCTCTGCTTGTGGCAGACCTAGAGGGTTGGTGCTACTCAAGGCTGTTGGAGCCCAGATGATACCACCAAGATACCTAGGTACTAGACAGAGAGCTGTAGAATTTGGTGTTTGCCTTGTTGGATTTTAGATTTAGCACAATCTTTCCTTCCCAAGCCCCCATTACTCCTTTTGGCATGGAAATATGTATTTTGTGCCATTGTATGTTAGGAGTATATAAATTGCTATTTGATTTTATGGAATCTCATAATTAAGTGATTGCCCAAGTCTTAGTTGAGACTGTATCCTTGGACTTTTGAACAAGCTGGAACTATTATGACCATGGAAACTTTTAGAGATAGACTAAATGAATTTTTCAGTATGCCATGAACATGAAACTTTAGAGAACAGAGTAGAAAGTACATATATATTGATAGGAGATATAGTCTAATGAGAGAATGCTTGCCTGATATGGATAAGGTCCTGGATTCAACCCTTAGCACCATAAGTTATTGCTGTCCTAGAGTTCCAGCCTCCAGACAGTACAGGGTTTGCAAAAAAAAAAAAATCCACAGGGTTGGCATAAACTTGGCTTTTCTATCTGAGGGGTATAGGAAAAAGACACATTCACATTTATTCTGAGTGGTTTCTCTATTTTCTCATGCTGAATTCTGAATTCTCTTTGTTCTTCATAGCTATATATACCCAACAGAAATCCTTCAATATAGAAGTTACATTTAAGGTCACATGTCATTTGATAAGAAACAGTCATCCTGACAACACACTTGTAATAAATTTCAACTTCTTAATTGGTGGGCTGTAATTTCACAGCTGTAGCTTCAAAGAGAGAAACAGTTATTTTTATTTATTTATAGAGCTAGACTTATAAAACTAAACTATTGAAGAGTTTAAGAAAAATAAAGAAATCGTGCCTATAACCTATATTTCTAAGTGTAGTAACATTTTAAACAAATACTTTGAGATTAATGTTTGTAAACTGGTAGTGTTTACAGAGAGCTTGTGTCATAAATGCTTTGGTTGGAACTCAATTTTACCTCAATTCTCTTAATATGAGCTCATTTTGGCACTCTTTAAGGCACAGTGACATTAAAAGCATTTTAAATCTTTTTTTTTCTTTTTTCTTTTTTTTCTTTCTTTCTTTCTTTTTCTTTTTTCTTTTTTTTTTTTTTTTTTTTTTTTTTTGAGCTGAGGATCAAACCAGGGCCTTGTGCTTGCTAGGTAAGCTAACTCTACCACTGAGCTAAATCCCCAACCTGCATTTTAAATCTTAAAATATTTTTTTTTGTCCTGTGTGTAGCTTCTAATTATCTAGAGAACACGTGCATTCCTCATTTGGGGCAACAGAGTCAAGTTATTTTTGTATCCTTGACTAGTCAGAATATATTTTCACAAATTGAGGCCAGGAATGGGTGCAAGGACTAATCATTTGCCAGCTAGCAATAATTGGGCTTTTTGTATTTATGACCTAGCCAGATAGCTCAGCATGTCCTTGTGAACTAAGATAGGAAATATTTGTCTTAAAACCCATTAGCAAGGCACCTGGTCTATTTAAAGTTACTTTGAAGCTTTCAATCAGCTAATGGTATGAAAGCTGTCTTAGAGCTGGAGAGATTCAACTATTTTCCTATGTCAGCCTCAGCTCTGATATAAAACCACTCTCAGGGACTTATAATTCCTGACTTGTGTGACATTACTTTGTATTCAATTATTCATCAAAACTTCATGTAAGCTAACATTATTGATATCATATTAACAATACAGTTTAAGGAGGAGTCATCTTCACAGATAAAGATCCCAACAGATCAGGATGCAGACGAGAAAAACACATGGCAATACAAGCAGTGGGAGATTCTCCACAGCAATTTATGGACAAATTGCAGTAGCACACATGAAAATCACAGACAGAAGCAAATGATAGTCTGAAGTCTGTGGCCCCTCAGCCATGCTTAACGAGGTTTCCCACCAGAAAATTATTCATCTGGTGGGTTGGCACCTTAAATATTAGTTGGCATCTGCTGTATTATGTCATGGCCCTTAGCAATAAGTAAATAAATAAACCTCTTAAATTGACTGAGAACCCGAGACCTAGGGAAAAAACAGATAACTACTATTCTACTATAGGAATGCTGCAAAAAAAAAAAAAAAAAAAAAAAAAGGACTCCTAAAAACATTCTGCTATATCCAGAGATCTGTCTCACTCTGCCATCATTAGAGAAGCTCCCTCCTGAAATAGACGGGAAAAATATAGAGAACCACAACTGGACGATATGCAGAGAGTAAGAGGCCTTGGAACACTCAGTCCTAAATGGGAGGCCTGCATTGTGGTGACATATTGTGTACCCTAATAAAATTTGCATGAAGATCAGAGAACAGAACAAGCCACTAGATTAAACATAGATGCCAGGCAGTGGTGGCACACACCTTTAATCCTAGCACTTGGGAAGCAGAGATCAATCTGGATCTCTGTGAGTTCAAAGCCACCCTGGACTGCTTGAGATTGACTCAGTCTAGGAGAGAAACAGAGCCAGGTATTAGTGGCACATGCCTTTAATCCCAATACTTGGGAGTCACATGCCTTTAATCCCAGCACTTGAGATCTCATGCCTTTGCTTGGGAAGCACACACACCTTTAATCCCAGCCTTAAGAAGGAAGTGATGGCTGGGCAGAGAAATTTATACAAGTTGTGAGGAGATAGGAATTGAAGGCTTTTCGGGCTGGAGTCCTAGAGGTAAGACGTGGCAGTGGCTTGATTCTTTGCCTCTCTGATCTTTTAGCATTTACCCCAATATATGGCTCCAGGATTTTGTTTGTTTGTTTGTTTATTAAAAGACCATTTAGCAATTTGTGTTACACTCCATCATATCCCTCCTCTCAGAGCTCAGGAAACTGTGGAAGCAGAGGTGAAAATATTGTAAAAGCCAGCGGGGGATGAAGGATGCCAAAGGAACAAGACCTAAGCACAGCAGGACTGATGCATATAGGAACTCACAGAGATGGGGCAGCATGCACAAGCCCTGCACAGGTCAGGGCCTAATGGGGTTCCAGTGCTGCGAGGGGAAGTGGACATATTCCCGCACTCCTAACCCAGAAGCTGTCTCCAAATGATAACTGATCACATGTGGAAAATTAGTTTTCTCCAAGGGAGTCTCACTGAATATACAAACTACTCTTAAGGGCAGGCCCCATGCCCAGCAGTAGATGGCCAACACAAAATGAACTCAATGGCACTTTTGGAGGTTCTTTGTCTCATAATGATTTGTAAGAGCTTAGTTTTTCTTACAGGTTCTTTGCATATAAATTACTTACTTTTAAACTATGTGTATATGAGTGTGGGTCTGTGCACCTGAATGTAGTGTCTGCAGGGACCAGAAGAGGAGTGGAATCCCCTGAAGCTGGAGTTACAGGCAGTTTGTAAACTGCCTGATGTGGGTTTTAGGAGCCAAACTGGGTTCCTGTGTAAAAGCAGCAAACGTTTTTTTTTTGTTGTTGTTTTTTTGTTTTTTTCTTTGCTGTGGATATTGCTCTGTATGCTGTGAATGTGTTGCTCTGATTTGGTTGATAAATAAAATGCTGACTGGCCAGTAGCCAGGCAGGAAGTATAGGCAGGATAAGCAGAGAGGAGAATTCTGGGAAGAGGAAGGCTGAGTTGGGAGTCGCCAGCCAGACACAGAGAAAGCAAGATGTAAAGATACCAGTAAGCCATGAGCCACGTGGCAAGGTATAGATTTATAGAAATGGGTTAATTTAAGATGTAAAATCTAGCTGGCAAGAAGCCTGAGCCAATAGGCCATACAGTTTTAATTGATAAAAGCCTCTGTGTGTTTATTTGGGTCTGAGCAGCTGTAGGAGCCAGGTGGACACAGGAAAACTTCAGCTACATTTCTTTTTTTTATTATTAAGAAATTTTCTCTTCATTTTATATACCAACCACCGATTCCCCTTTCCTTCTTTCTCGCAGCCCCCAGCTTTCCGCCCCAACCTACCTCCCCCCCATACCTACCTCCTCCAAGACAAGGCCTCCCTTGGGGAGTCAGCAGAGCCTAGTACATTCAGTTGAGGCAGATCCAAGCCCCTCCCCCCTGCACCAAGGCTGTGTAAGGTGTCCCACCATTGGCACTAGGCTCCAAAAAGCCAGCTCATGTACCAGGGACAAGTCCTGATCCCATTGCCTGGGGCCCCTTAAGCAGGTCAAGCTAAACAACTGTCTTGCTTATGCGGAGGGCCGAGTCCAGTAACATGGAGGCTCCACAGCTGTTGAGCCACAGTTCATGAGTTCCCACTAGTTTGGTTTGGTTGTCTCTCTCTGTTTCCCCATCATCATTTTAATGCCCCTTGCTCATAGAATCCCTCTTCTCACTCTTCAACTGGATTCCTGGAGCTGGGCCTGATGTTCGGCTGTGGATCTCTGCATCTGCTTCCATCAGTTACTAGATGAAGGCTCTATGATTTTGGCAAGCCACAAGAATATGTTATAAGGAGTCCAGCTGTGTATTAAAGCTATACCTTGACCAGGCCAAAGGTAAGTCAAGTGGGAAGCCATCTAGCATGGACTATTTGGTGTTACACAGCTTAATATTCAGCTGTGCCTTGTTATGAATTTCTTGTGCTCACAACTCCCATAGAATTGTGTGTGTGAACTTCCTGCTCAGGCTAGTATTTGGATAAGGTCACGAAGGCAAAGCCAAGCCTGTGGTAGATGCATAGCTTTGTTTCTTGTGCAAATGAAGTTCAGACCATCCCCCTTTCCTTGAGGCCTAGAGGCTCTCCAGAGCAATTAACTGAGAACAAAAGAGGTTTTTACATATCAAGGTGGAAGACAGGGTGGAGCAACATTCCTGAGGCAGAGAACAGTGTGGCCAGGGGAAGAAGGAATAGGCATTTTCTCTAGAGGCAGACAGAATGGCATGACCAGGGAGAAGGGAAGAACACAGAGGTTTTGTAGACAGTGAGGCAGAACTCTTGAAGAGTTCTTCAGAGCCAGGAGTAGAGAACAAGTAGAGATGGAGGGCAAAGAAACAGAGGATGAAGATGAGGCTGGAAGCATAAGAGCTTAGTGGTTAGCAGGACTATGAGGGGGCAGTAAAAGAGGGGACAAAGAGGAACCAAGTGTCAGGATGGAACTGAAGCTATGTAGACAGGATTTCATCCCAGAGAAATAAAATAGACAGACAAAGAGCTTGGTGTATCTAGATTTATTCCTGCCCTGAATGCCTGATGGAGCTGTATCTGTATAGATAAAATTTTGTCTTAGAGGAATAAAGTTAACAGTCATAAGAGCATAGTGTATGTAGATTTTTTTTTTCCCTCAGATATTCCACGCCGGACATAGCGTCTTCCCCCGACACTGGGAAATCCATATCTGGTGCCTTAAACAGGATACTCATAGGGCCAAGGGAATAGTTAACCAAGTGCATCCAGGGAGAGATGTCGCTTGGCAGAGTCTGCACACAGAGAGGCAGTTTCCTGTGGGGGGGGGCATAGAGGTGATCCCCAAAGGTTTCAGCTACATTGCAGATCTAACCAAAGGTGCTACAGACCTGGGTATCTCCATACCTCGTGAGTGGTGAGTAAAACTGTGTAGATAGAATTGACTTAGAAGAACAAAGTGAATGTACTAAAAAACTCAGTGTATCTAGATTCATTCCTGCACCGCTGGTAGTGTCCCTTCTGGGCCCCCTGGGATAGTATAATATTAAGACTGGACCTATAATATTATACAAAACCTGGTGCCCTTGGGTGTAAGGATTCTGTCCTTAATTACATCACCAGCCTGTGATGGCGGTCCAGCCTATAAAGAGGGTGGGCCCTCTGTGCGCCCCCTTCCTTTCTGCACCCTCTCCTTCCGTTTTCTTCCCTCCATGTGGTATCTGTTTCTTCTCTCTCTCTCTCTCTCTCTCTCTCTCTCTCTCTCTCTCTCTCTCTCCCAATAAACCTCTAAAAAGGTAACCATGGCTTATGATTCTTTCCATCAGAACTCTCCTCTGCTGACATGGCCACCATGTAACCAACATTTGGTGCCGTTCAGACTTGGATAGACCACCGAGGACCTGCTGACTGCTGATGCTTGCCGCCTCCTCCCCCATCCAGCGAGACCAGGAGATCATGAGCGCGTGCATGTGTGCATCCCTCGCCTCTGCTGGACCCCCACACAGCTACCACTGCTAATACCACCATGATTCTTCACCACAGTGAGTCCGCCGTTCTCGCGGCTGTAGTCTGAGCTATATTCTTTGCGATGGACAGCCTGGGGTTTGTCCTCGGGCTGTGCTGGCAATGGCAGGCACATTTTCTGCTCCTGACAAGGCGGTCAATGCTGTCTAGGGTCCAACGGTGGACCAATTGCAGTGCAGCCACAGCCCTTCCCATCCCTTGACTAAGAGGATGGTGAACTTGAGCTGATTCTTAGATCTCTCTTCACTCCCGGGGACGCCTGAGATTGGAGGCTGGTCCCGGTTTGTTATTTTAGTTTTTTATTCTTCTCTCAGCTACAGCCATGGGACAAAGAGGCGGATACATTTACCACCTACATTGGTGGATAGGGCCAGGTACCGGTAAACCTGGCCACATAACAGTGTAAACCTGGTCTCATAACAGCGTCGCGGGAACTTCTGCCAGAGAACGGGCAAATAAAAGAGTTACTTTATCCCCAAACTTTCTGCTAAAGCTCTCAACCCTTCTCCCTTCCCCATTTCTACCTCTGCCACATGCAACCTTTTCTGTCTGACTTCCGCTGGCAGTGAGCAGGCTCAAATGGGCGGGCTTGGACGGCTTCTACTGACTCTCGCCCTAACTCACCTTAACTCCACCCATTCATTCTCACACTGCCTTGAGAGACACACAGACGGGTCTGGTAGTGGCTAAGATCCATACAAATAAGTGTACAGTAGTCAGGATGGCTCTTAAGCCCAAAATCAACTTATAGCCTCAGACAAGTCTTCCAAAAGGATCGGTTTATAGTCTGCCTCCTGGCAGATCTGCCAAAAGCTGTCCTTAAGCCACCAATTATCAGGGGAAAAAAAAATTCAGGACACGGAATAAAATCTGTCTCTTGTTCCCCAGACCTCCCCGACTAAAACTTAAGCATCTGGAGAGCAAGGCTCCTGACCCCACAGGCAAAAGAGTCATCTGTTGCTGGAGGGCTTCTCTCCAGGTTCCCCAAGCCCCGCAGTCCCACAATCCACTTATAAAATAATCACTCAGACACTTATATCACTTATAAACTGTATGGCCGTGGCAGGCTTCTTGCTAACTGTTCTTTTATCTTAAATTAACCCATTTTTATAAATCTATACCTTGCCACGTGGCTGGTGGCTTACCAGAGTCTTTACATGCTGCTTGTCCTGGCGGTGGCTGCAGTGTCTTTCCCCTCAGCCTTCCGCTTTCCAGAATTCTCCTCTCTCCTTGTCCCACCTACTTCCTGCCTGGCAACCTACTTCCTGCCTGGTCACTGGCCATCAGTGTTTTATTTATATAGAACGATATCCACAGCAGTCATCTGTGGCATTTAAGGTGTGCCAGGGAAGAGATAAAAGCCCGAAAACAAAATTGCCAAGTGCTGGCACTCGCTGACTCCCAAAAGCTGTTCGGTTCCTGTTTTAAGTGAAAAAAAAAAAAAAAAAAAAAAAAAAAGGCCATGGGCTAGCGAATGCCCTGCCAGGCCATCAACAGCCTTGTTAAAAGTGCCACCTAGAAAGACAACCAGTCAGCTGACTGCCCCCAGGTGCCAAGACCCATGGGTACATCAAGCTAAGACCTCCAGCAGACCCAGGCTTGGCTACAGACATGACAGGGAACCCAGAACGCAGCTGGGAAGCGATCCATTTCTTTCCTTCTGGACACCAGAGCCACAGTCCTGGGGAGTTTTGGGATGTCACCTCTCCTTTATTATCGGGTACAGAGGACAGCCTTACCTACCTCGCCAGATTTAATTGCACCTTTAGAATTACTGCCTGTGTTTCTCATGTGCATACAGACAGGGCCCTGATCTTTGCCTTGTCCCTAATTCCAAAAAATAACTTCTCATGCACCACAAGCTTCTCTCTTCCCAGTTCCCTGTTCTAACTCACTGTTCAGCTAATGATACAGGACGACCACAGAACCGGAGTCCAGAGATCATCAAGTAAAAAACTGTAACAGCTAAAAGGTATATTTACACCCCCAGACCCAAAAGCATCTGGGCGCTACCAAAAGACTTTAATATAAACATCTATTACTGTGAGATGTTTTTAACAATTGATCACCTGTCTCCTAGATGCTGAACTAGTAAAGGAAACAGGTACTTTAAAATACTCTGTCACCGATAAAGCTTAACATGTTTCAAAATCCATCTGGACAGGCCAGATCTACCTCAGATAAATGTCAACATAAAATAATAATGGATTCTTTTCTCTCTAAGCTTTTTTCTGTGTCACCAGCATCTAGTCGAACAGAAAGTTCCCAGCCACAGCCAAGAGGGATACATGTCTCCAGAGCAAACAGGTGACAGACAGCATCCCACAACGCCTGTCTACCTCGGAAGACTCCTCTTCTCCATTCCCCCAAGAGCCAACCGATGTCCAAAAGTCAGCTGGAAGCAGTTTTTGAGAGGAACGACGCCCCTATTCCCATCTACCTGCTTTTTTTTATAATAAGCGAAAGTCTGGGATGTAAGGATTCTGTCCTTAATTACGTCATCAGCCTGCGATGGCATCCCAGCCTAAAAAGCAGGTGGGCCCTCTGTGTGCCCCCTCCTCTTTCTGCTCTCTCCTTCCATCTGTCCCCTCTCCCCGCCCCCATAAAGCTCTAAAAAGGTAACCATGGCTTATGATTCTTCTGATCAGCACTCTCCTCCAATGACATGGCTGCCGCAGGCGGCGGCCAGCCACGAGCAGAGCCGATTTAACCAACATTGGGGTACCTGGATCCCAGAAGGGTAATCAACCCTCTCCACTATTGCTAGTGGTCTAAGGTGGGGTCATCCTTGTGGACTCCTGGGAACTTCCCTAGCTCCATTTCTCCCGATCCTCATGATGTCTCCCTCTATCATGGTATCACTCTCCTTGCTCTCCCACTCCGTCCCTGTTCCAGCTCAACCATCCCATTGGCTTATGTTCTCATCCCCCGTTCCCTACCCTCCATTGCCCCCTGCTTAGCCCCAGTTTACTCATGGAGATCTTATTTCCCCTTCCCAGGGCAATCCATACGTCCCCTAAGGTTCTGCTTGTTAGCTAGCTTCTCTAGAGCTGTTGGTTGTAGTCTGGTTATCCTTTGCTTTACACCTAGTATCCACTTATGAATGAGTACATACCATGTTTGTCCTTCTGAGTCCGGGTTACCTCACTCAGGATGATATTTTCTAGTCCCATCCATTGCAGCAAATGGTTTTAATCCCATCAGCCACCTCTGCCGTCCCACCTGCTGGTAATTCATGGACAAGACCATGGCCAATTTAAAAGACCAAGTCTTAACTGCAAGAAGAGGCTGGTAGCTATGCCCACAAGTGCCATGATTTCTAAAACTGCCTTGTCTCTAACTACATAATTGATGGGCATCATTACTACTTTGTTGAGTAAAGACCTCAAAATAAGAACAGATTGCCTTTTACAATATTCTAGGCTGCTCTAAGTCCCTTTGGGTCCTGGGTAATTATGGTGGTGGTGGGGTTTAATGAGGTTAGTGATCTTGGCGTGAACTCCTCAAGGACCACCAAGTCCCGCCTTTGAAGTGCAGGCCTCCTGCTTGCTCTCCCTTCTCAGGCGGCTGTGGTGTGGGAACCGTCCTCTGGACTGAGGGGGGAAGGGAAAGTGGCGGGCATCTCCCTTTTGCTGCAGCAGCTGAAGATGTGTCAGCATCGGTGGTTGTGGCCGTGACACCTGCCCTGCCATTTTTTCTTCTTCCTTTCTGAGTTGGATAGCTCTTGTTTGATTTTCCTAATTGTTCTGGGCAAGGCTACCGCTACGCTGAATAAAAGTGGTGAGTGTAAACGTTTTCTGGTCCTTCGAGTAAGCTGTTACCCGTGGGGCATCATACACGACCTGCTGTCGAGGGAGTTCCTGTTTGCTGAGCATTTTCATCATGAGAAGGTGCTTGTCAAATGCTTTTTTTTTTTTTTTAAAGCCAGGCAGTGGTGGCACATGCCTTTGATCCCAGCACTCCGGAAGCAGAGCCAGG